AAAAATGTGTAGAGTTTATCATTGTTTTATAATAAGGTCTACTGTTTTCTTTTTTTTTAACGCATACTGTCATAGTCCCGCACTAGAGAAACCCTGTGTCGCGGGTACTAGAGACACACAAAGAGACAACCACAAATTACACCCAAACTCACGAGAGAAATAAATGTAGGTCATACAAGTATTTCTCCATTCGGCCATGAAGGCAAAAAAAAAAGACGCTACTGAATATTAAAAAAATGTTGCACGTTCATGATCGAGGCCATTTTTCTTTTCGTTAGTTCGATCTTTGTATCAATAATAATAATAAATCAATGGAGTATTTTCATTAAAAATAAGAATATCATGGTAGTGAGAAAAACATGATGATATTCAATAAAATACATATCGCTACTGAATAATTTTGTTTTTTTTATTTCAATATCGATTACTACAAGGTATTAAGAATTATACATCCAACTCCCGAGCCAGAGTGCCTTCTAAAGAAATAATTTAAGCCATTGTTTTAGGAAGCACACGCCATCCAAAATGTTCGTGTACATCTAGCACGTCATACTGTTAACGGTTCCACGAATCAATAGAAAAAGAGACAAGGGAATTTTCTCAGATGTATCACAACTATTTCAAACTTACATCGCTTCCAAATCTTTTAGGTCATTAAAAAAAACAAAATCGCTACCAACATTACGAAATCAAATTGGCGTTTCCGGTTACGCGATTTTAAGGGCTCCACCATCAGGGTTCCCTAAAACAATGTGGGTGATAAAGAGTTGTTTGCTCACCGGGCGACAGAAGGCAAATAATTGCGGACATTTTACTCCCTTCGGGGAAGCTTTTAAATCTTTTTATTTTATTTTTTCACAGTTACTGTTTCGCTCAATTGTTTTACGCTCGGTATAGGGTATCCTTCCAGTCTTTTGTTTCACGAAAATTTCAAGAGGAAAAGGATTATGTAATATGGTTTCGTGTCCTTGGGTGGCAATAATTTCAACAGTGCGTTAACTCAATCTTTCTTACATCAAGTTTTATTCTAAAGAAACTCTTGTTTTTAATTTCTGTTTGGGAATAGGTTACATAATACTCAAACGGTTCTACTCGTCATTTTATTGTATTTTTTTATGATACCAAATGATGGGATGAACAAGACATTCGTCTGTTGGTAAGCGTCACGCCTGTCCATAGCAGTACAGTGCCACTCAGAGATTCAAATCGCAAGGATCTGAGAGGCACTGCCACTACGCCTGTCACCCTGGGACATAAGCTGACAAGTCACGTGCGGGTGTATTTATAGTTGGTTATTTTACTAAGTTTTAAATACTAAAAAGGCTTTTTGCATTGGCTTTTAGCTGCTGTGTTCTAGATTAAAGGGTAGGGAGATCATTGACAGGCACAAGAGTTTTTTAAACGAATTTTTAATTAGTTTAATAGACATTAATGACACTTTGAAAAATAATGTTGCCATTTTTATTGTATAGTGATGCATTGGGTCCAGTTGTCAATGTACTCGCAGAAGCGCAATCAATCAAAAAGAAACGTTAATGATTTTCAACTCTTTATATCTCAACATACTTCTATCATTTTTCTGTTATCAAAATCAAGATTTTTTTAAATTGATACCTTCGTAGTTTACCTTGATAACTTACTGAGTAGGTCAGGGAAGTCGATTGTATAAGATAAGACTATTTTTATTTCTTCTAAAAACTCGCAACACACTAAAGGTCACATTATTATCTCTAATTAAAATCCAACTATAGGATTTTATGCCCTACGGCTGTCACGCATTCACCATATTAATGGATACATAAATTAATAAACTTAATACCAAAAACATAGATCTGTAACAAGCACATAAAAAAGTTCGTAAGTAAAAAAGTTTCCATAACACAAATGCTTTAGCTACTTACTTTGGGATCAGAGCAACGTATGTTGTCTAATATTTATTTATATTTAAATATTTAATATTATATTTATAATCGTATAGTCATAAAGCATTATTTAAATAATACAAACATTACATATTTCTTATAAAATAAAAGTTACGACACATATTAAACATAATTGAATTTAAATTATAGTATAGTAATAAAAGTTACATTAAATTTATATTATTGAAAGTGAAAATTAATAACAATATTATTATTATTTTTTTTTAAATATGAACTATTGAACGTGGTGTTTGTTTGGACTCCCTTCGGGTAAATCCCTCCTGCAATGACCTTCCAATGCTCTCGGTTCTATGCGACACACAACCAGTCTGTGCCTACATAGTCGTATTATGAACTTAAAATTAAGGCGCTAAAACATGTGGTTGATGATTACTCCACCTACGAGGACCTAGCTTGTAATAAAAAGAGAAAGCGGCAGGCTTACCGTTCACTTGTTCATTACCATATAAAATTTTATTTGTTTAAAATAAAACAACTCGAAATTGAAACTTTTTTTCGGATCTAAATCGCGTATATTTGCGTCTCATCATCACGAGGCTTTGCCAGCTGGTCTAAGGATAGGTACGAGATTTTAAGACCTAATTACATACATTTTTTTGCATACAATACATTTTCTACGAGTAAATAAAATAATGGAACAGAACCTATTTAATGTATAAATATTTTGTAAACAATCCATGACAACAAACTCAAACGAAAACCAAACTCTACAAAACAAAAAACCAAAGACATAAAATAGAAATTGCCAAATACCGCGTATATTTCAACTACTATATTTTTATAAATGTTTATGAGCCGGTTTCAAGACCTTTAGGCCAATTTAACCAATCAGGAGGCAGTAGAGCGTTTGACTAGCGTCATATTTGATATTTTAAATAAACAAAAATACGATATTCTTTTTTTTATATATAACTATAATTTTTCTGTTCAGTAACGAGTACCATAGATAATATTTGAATTTTATTTTGAATCAAAACTAAAAAGAGCGCCTTTGTGATATGGTTTATGAAATTATAATTGACAGATTGTAGTATTTGATTTTCTACTCCTGAGTAGAAAATCAAATATGCTAAATTTGGATCACAAAAAAAATTGCTTCATTTCACCAAAACCTTAGAAATGGATGAAGAATGTTGAGCTAAGAAATTATTCACCTAAAACTTTTAACACTACAGAAACATTTATTCAAAAAAGCGTCCCCCTGGGCGTCACAGTCACACAACGCCGGTCGGGTCAACTTCTCTATCATTAGCACAAAATTAACCTTTCGCGGTGTACCCCCAAATGTTGTCACACCCTCGTTTAAAGTGCAAGTTGTCATTTTCAACTGGCCGTGTCTTTCAAACGCTATAGAATAGATTAAGCTTTATTGCACACAAAAAAAACAGACAATACATAGACATAGTGAAAGATACAATTAGTGCATCATTAAGATGCTCTATAACATATTTTAGTTTCTACATTTAATCAAAATTAATTCGTCAGACGACCACGCCTATTACCTGGTCTCAAATGTACCTAGACTGTACTCCAGGGCCACTACACAAAGCACCCAATTTACAAAGGTTACAGTCCCAAATCGATACCAGGAGTCGAACATGGGACCTCTTCATCCAGCGCCCACAGCGCAAAAACCGTTATGTCACCGAGGTTGTCAATACATTTACAATATTTATCGATAAAGGTAGATTTTTCATTTGGTAATTGCTACTTTCTGTATTTGTGTTTGTTACGCATAAAACACGCGAATAGTAAATGGTTCACATGTAAATTTATTTCCATGAAAGTGCATGCGTAAATTGGAAGATCTTTCTATTGCTTACATCTCAGTGACCAAAACTGTGTATTTTTCACTGTATTTTGTGAACTGATACATTTATACATACATTTGTTTTTATTTTTATTGTATTATATTTAAGATTTAAGTGTGTATTGTGTCTTTTTTTAAATTAGAACATGTCGCACCCATGGTGTAATAAGGTCACATCTGCAAAATTACAACTTTTCAGGAGTTTAAAGATTCTACGAACAAAAATGGTCGATTACTTTTTAGATTTAAATAGGAGAGTTATAAAATTTCTCGAAAAAAGTCCTAAATGTCCAATTTACAGTCAACAGCACACCAAGCTATACACTCTTGTTCGAATATTGCCTCCGGTGCAACGGAACAAGATCCGTCAATGCTGCCGCCGTTTGTTAAATGGATGTGACAAAAACTCAAAACCGTGAAAATAAGGTTTCAAGAAATGAAAAGAAAAAATATCTACTTTTCTTTTGCGGTCACTTCATACCTTATCCACCTAGGAAAAAATAAAAAGAGTGACTGATCTATCTTTTTTTACTGATCATGGCAGTATACATAATTTTTTAAAATGACACATGCGCCCTTTCAAGTAACGGGGCAGAATGTGTAACCTGATGTGCTGCTCTGATGAGTACATTAAAATGTTCTAAATATAATTACATGCTTCAGGCCCGAGCAAGTATACCCTAGTGTTGTATGAAAAACGTGCTTATGGTCATATAAAATATATAGCGCTAAACTGGAATGCGTTATTTTCATTATAATGTACACTGGGTGTTTATGAGATCATAGGAATAATATTCTCTGGGTCTAAATCACTTCATGCATCGATACATCCAATGAACACAACGCCAACTTTATTTTTCTGGTCATTTTCTGTTGTTTTTGTAAACAGTCATATTTATTTACCAATATTATGCTCCCCAGTTTTGAGGAAAAACAACTAGAAAAACGAAAAACCAAATTGGAAAAAAAAATAGAACAACGAATTTTGTAGAAGAACAATAAAGAAATAAAAATAGAACAGGTCCAAAAATTAAGTTGGCGTTCATTGGTCGATATTGGGAAGTACACGAGACGGATATTTATAATTTGTTTCATGTATTTCGTATTAATTTTCATGAATGAAAGATCATGTGGCTTTATTATGCGACGGGTATATTTATAATATACGTATAGTTTTATCGTAAATATTATCTATTAAATCTACATCTCCCATTTTACCTCTCTTGACGTAGTCCCCTTGTCCCCAGTGGAAAATTGCTCAATGATAACACGAGTAGTCTGTCGGTGTACCGCAGGCAGGCGTTGCTGACGGCCCGCGCCGACGCCAGAGACGATGACGACGAACGTCCCCTCGACGTCGGTGGACCTTCTAGTCCGCCTCCGCCACCGCCGCAGCAACATTCTACCACTTGTAAGTATCTTACAATATCGGACTATATAAAACGAATTTTGCCTAAGCTTAAACAAGAAATTATATTATATTTTGAATTTACTTCGTATATATAAGTTACGAAATAACGCTAAATAGTTGACCTCCGCTTAATCGTACTTACTTCGTACTTCCGCAAAAAGATAATACCTACGTGAGAATTTTGGACATATCGCCAATTTTTAATTTTACATATTTACTGGGAGAAAGCACGTAAATTGTCGTAACATAATACAGGAATGCCCTGGACACTTGATCGCAACCTCATTCTTATTCTTACATAGAAGGAACATTATCATTGTCTTATGCACCAAATTTGTTCACAGCATGGTTCAGTACCAGCAGTGGCGGCGGGAGCGGAGGCGGCGGCGGCGGGGGTGTCGACTCCGGCAACGAGGAAGGCATAGAAGCCGGATCGGATTCCTCCTGCTCAGGCAGCGCCAGACCTGCCTCACCCCCCGCAGGCCCCTCACGGCCTTCACCAGCCCCTGACGTCTCTCTAGGTCCGCCTGTACAACCGCCGTTACTACCCTACCTCTACCCGCCGTCATTGTACCCGCCTCCATTCTTCCCACCACATCAAATGCCGCCAGGACTACTGTTCAATCTCCACCCCTTACTGCAGCAGTACTCGCTGCCACCGCCGCCTGGTCTCCCGGCGCCTCACGCGCCCGCCCCGGTACCGTCACTGGCGAAGATGCACAGGTTCGCGCCTTACGCGCTACCTGGCCTTGGGTCGGCGTTTGAACAAGTAGCGCCTCGCGCTCGTAGTCTAAGCTCGTCTCCTGCGCGGCCGAGGCCCGGTTCTCCGCCTGCACGTGCCGCTTCGGCTGACCCTCCACCCGATGCTCCAAGTTCTACGACAACGGGCTCAGCAGCGACCCCGCCTGCGTCTGACCTGAAAAGCATTGAACGCATGGTAAACGGGCTGGATGTAGAGACGCAGGACTGATTCGCGCCCGCGCAATGTACATAGCGTGTATTTATATCGAGATAGCGCCGTCGCTTCGGCCCGATCGCTCCGTAGGCGGGGGCATCGTTTTGTATCGTTCCTATTTTGTTTTCTGTCTATTCGGGTCGATATTCGTATACTGATGTAAATAGTTAAGCTTGTTAGACGATTACGTGTTCGCTGACCGGAATGTTACATGGTCACCTTTCCCAACACGCCTCTACGATACCCATCGAATTATATATGCGTTATTATTATATCCTCTAAATTGGACACTTTTTAGATTTGTATACTGTTTTATTTAAAATTATCCCCTGTTATATGTTTTATCTATTTATCAAACTAACTCCACAAATGTTCGCTAATTTCTTGTGAAAATAACAAGTCGGAATCCTTCAGTTTATTACTTTAAACACCCATCTAAACCGTCTCAATGAGCGTGCGACCTAAGTGTGACTGTGTGACAACGTAACAGCAACAACCACAAGTAGCTGTTTGACACAATAGTTATCACCAATAGTATCCCACTGCAATAGAAATAGGATTTTAACTACTTTTGTTAAATGTACTGAATAATGACGTCACATATTTAAACCATAAGTATCCAGTTCTTTTTTTTAATTCATCTTCCGAGTCGATGTTGTTTAATATTTTTTTTGCATTCCTGTAGTACTTGTTTATGTTTCTATGACATTGTTAGCAACATCCTTTGTAACGATATTTGAACGCACTATAGACACACATAAGTGTTTGAAAGAGAAATAGAAAGTCGAGTATAGCAATCATCATTAGTCGGAAGACGTCTACTGCCTATAGGATACTACGACATACTGCGCGTGTATGGTCTGGAATCCAAAATTAAAAAATAAACGTTTATGTTTTCGATTACAGACCCTGGAGACGTAGGATACTTACTCCCTTCCCAACTGTCTATATGTTATCGCTTCCAATCGATATGTTCTCGATAAGCCAGCACAATTACGGAACCATGATACTTAAGGATACTTATTCCCTTCCCAAGTGTCTATGTGTTACCACTTCCAATCAGATAGATGATAGAAGTTTAACATTTCTGTATATTACAGAAAAGTACTTTCGGAATTCTTATTGTCCCCATATACTAGCAGACTGATCGAAACGGCGAATTGATAATGCATGTCTATATCGTTAACGATTAACTTGAACGCCAAGGAAGTAGCGATTGATTGATACGATTATCGTGACGACCGATCGAAACAAAGAATCGTCTGTATATGGGGACCTTTGTTGTTTAACAATATTTATTAATTTTTGACCGACTTACAAAAAAGGAGGAGGTTCTCAATTCGAATATATTTTTTTTTAATAAATTTATTGAGGGTCAAACAGTTATACATGTACAAAAATGACATATCTAAAATTAACTTGTAAGTAAACCTACAGTCCTCTAAAATTTTTTTGGTGTATTTGTGAACTGATTTCGATAATTCTTTTTTTTTTTAAAAGGAGTAACTGACTCAATAATGGTCCCATTCAAATCCCACCTTTAGGGTGACAAATTGAGGATGATTCCTATTTATTGGATGTCACTCACTTTCCGTTATCCGATTTCTATAAAATTTAGTAAACAGTTGTAATTCCACAAACTTTTGAGGTCGGTTTTTTTGTTATTTGTTAAAATTATGAAAACTGTACTAGTGCGTTTTTTCTATTTTCGACTAAGGGGTTGAAAACTGAAAAGTTTTGAAATATTTACTTTCAAAAACGACTTAGCTTTATTATGTAACACCTTAGGTTATATCCGATTAATGCTGGCAGCTATACTTAACTTTATACTACTACGTTCCACAATGCTACCCTCTTTGTCATAACTAATGTGACTTTCGAGATCTGACGTTTAAAAAAAAATTCAATTACCATAATTTTGTTTACCAATAAAACTGAAGCTAAATAAGATATTAAAAAACCGATTAGAGGGGGTTGTAGATCACATTTTTCTGATCCCAGACATGTTAACAGCCCAATTTTGCTAAAAATATCGTTTACGTTAGTTATTCAGGGCAGGGTTAAACATTGCAACTCATACATCCCGTTTTTCAACACGTGAGACGTTACATTTACAAATTGAATACAAAACAAAACTAAATTATACTTTTCTAATAGTTTAATTAGTATAATGTCATTGCTTTATCGTGTAAATACATTTTGTAAGGTATATTCGTGTTTACTAATAGACATATTTTGAAAATATGTTTTTGTCAATTGTGCTGTGACACGGCCTGCGGTTGGTTGTTGCTTTTAAAAAGTTTTCAAAACGATATTTTTGAAAGCGTATTTTGGAGACCTTGAAGTAATTCTTTTTTCGAATAACTATGCGACAGTTGTTTATTTGTGGGTTATTATTGATGCCTCAACGAAGGTAATATTACAGAACTTTACTGGATTTTTATAGCAAAATTCTGATAATTTTAAAGACATTTCCAATTTGCGTTTGCTTATAAAATGAAAATATATTAAATATCATATAAATACTCACTTACCTGCCATTAGTCGTACATTGTAAACATTAGCGACCGATATTTCCTGGCGTCACAATTCCAACTTATTTCAATATCTACAAATTTAATTTTGCGCAAAAACAGCAACCGATCGCATGCAAAATAAACGATTGATGAAAAATCTAACTGTAAGTTAAAATTTGTAATATATAGTTGATAAATATTGTAGTTAAAAATACAAAATATATAATTATAAAATGAATATAATTTTCCATGGAATTCAATAATTCTAAGTGCATTGAATAAGTTGCAAAAGCGATAGGTTCTACATGAATAATAATACCATCATTTAACACCTTCTTTGTTTTTAGTCGGTGAAACAAAAATCAGTGATTTTCGTGTTGCAATAATGAAAAGTTTATTTGCCTCTTTGTGAAAGTTAAATATGCTTTGTATATTGATTGTCAAGAGACTGTATTGTGCAACAGCTGTAATTGAGAATTATTCATTAAAATATATAGATAAATCTATTGACAAAATTAATCATTGTTTCCTTTTCCTTTACCGTATTCAATGTATTCTATCAACTTTTTTTATGACACCAAGTGACGGAACGAACCAGCGAACCTGTCGTGCACCTGATGGTAAGCGTCACGCCTGTCCATGACGGTTGCAGTGCTACTCAGCTTTAAATCGCCAAGATCTGTCACCATGAGACATAAGTTGACCAGTCCCATAATTAATTAATTTCACTAGCACTTATTACCCTTTAAATTCGAAACGCTCTAATGCTCACATTACTGTTTGGCGGCAGAAACAGGTCCCTGAACGAACTCTTTTACAAGGAGCTCTACTATTACTAAATTATCCCTATCTACCGACCTGAGATATAGGGTTTTCTGGAGAGACTACGAGCTCGACGGCAAGACCAGGGTACAGCATTGCCTTGCAGCTCCGCCACCAATGAGGAGATTTGGTAGTGGACTCAGAGTCGACGGCTCAGCGGTGGCAACCGCTAGTTGTACAATGCGCAACGGGAATTGAGCGTGCCTACAGCTCCGAGACCTATCTGGAAAATAGGGACGGTACTGTACGTGCACCCGGGGCGGCTCACCCGAGGCACTACCCTCTCGAAGAACCGGATGGAGTCAAGTGATGATGTCCGTGACAACCCTGTACACTGGCTGATCTGGGGTCAGAACCCGAAGTTGTAAGGTTCTTGTGCGCGCACAGGTCATAGTGCCCTTCTTGTATGCCCTAAATGTAGGTAGGGAGGGTCACTATTATCAAAACTAACGTAGAAAGATATGGAGCTTGTTACTAAATTGTAGAGTTTTGCCAACACCTCTAGGCCAGAGCTTCCAAATACCAGTTTGATCCACTTGAATGCATCCAACGCCGCGTTGTCGATGATCCCCAACTCACAGACGGCTTGGAGCCATTTAATCTTTAAGTGTTCAACCGTCTTTATAATGGGGAATGCTCAGAGGGTCAGGTATCACCGTGACTTGTCCACCATCGCACCTCCCACCAAAGGAGTAGAGCCCATCCCCATAACATACTACGTGTCTGGCGTTGAAGGCCCACACGGGCATCATATTTGTTCCTTCCTCGAACCTGCAAGAATGGAATGGTATTTTCTTTGCACAGCGACATGGAATTTTTCAAAAAGCGTGTCAACATTGCTCTCAAAGGTTGACAACGCACAGACTTATCAAGGGTCTCGTCTGCTACGTAAGACTATTTTCTACTAATAATTTTGACTCATTCGGCATATTGTGCCTTGATATTATGATAAAGCCCCATGTGATCATACATCATAAAAATACAAACTACTTAAAACAAGTCATGTAATTTTTGTGTCTTATTATTCCTATTTAAGCTCATGGATTAATTTCGCTCGTAGAATCTTTAAACCCCTCTCATGAAAAGGTGTCATTTTGCAGATGTGGCCTTATTACATCATGGGTACAAGTTTATAATATTAATTATTGTTACATTCTTAATCCCAATAAACATTTTTTTTACCGTAATCATCTAGAGACACAAGCAGCACAACTCTATTTCGACAAGATCTCACAATCTGTCCTATAGATCACGTGGTCGTAATCGTAAAGAATTTCTTAACAAGCTGCAATAGTGAGCAATAATTGGAGACGCTCCCAACGTTAATACAGTATCACCAACCTAACAATCTTGAAGATATTCCCAACTAGAGTGGAGTAAGTGTTACATGGAAGACTATTGCGAATTTTCTGAGCAACATAATGCAATATCAACAAACAATGTTCCAAGTTTCTTAGCGCTGTTTGGTTTTGAATTTTTATTATATTGTAAGTATGCCAAAATATGTATATATTAAAGTTTATCAAACCGACAAGGGCAAACTTTTCCGAATAAAAAACAATTACAAATGTTCTTTAAATGTAAACACAGATTGTAGTCGACACCCACATAGTGTCAAATGATGCCATCAGTATTTTGTTATTAAATCCATATCTACAGAGCAAATTTTAAATCTGCGACCAAATCTGTCTCACATTAAGTTAATGAACTCTTATAGATGACAAATAAAAATATATGGAATGGAATTCCCTGCAAACTTGTTCCCTGAACGGTGTAACTTAGGCTTTTTCAAGTCGTGAATAGGCATCATTTAGGTGTGCATGCTCCATCGAACTGCCTACGTGGCCCAACGATTATCATGCTGATTTGCCACGCAGAGGTT